ATGGAGAAATGAGATAAATGTTGGGTTATTGATAGAAATGGAACCTTAGGGTTGTTTTGTTAATTATGGGAAATGCCCTAATTACATTGATGAATTAATTTGTGAAATTAATTTTGAGAAATGAGAAGTTGAATTGAGAATGTTGAAATGGGGATCGTATGGGTTTAAAGGGTGTAGTTGGATCATTTATCACTCACCTAGTTGAAATGTTGATATTTTATCGATTTGGTGCATTTATTTTCTGTTTAGAAATAATTGCTTTGGGCTATCGGTGGAGGATAGCCTTGATTGTTGTAGACAATGCATGATGATTAGGCAAACTAAAACTAATCGATTGAGTATGTTATCGAGTATAGCGGTTGGAATAATACATTAACTTTATGTATTGATTGATTATTTATATGATCTATGTTTATATACATTGTGTGTGGGAGAAGATAAGGGATGTACTCCACGGTTTAGGGGAAGATAGGGGATGGATCTCTAAACCGAATTTTGTGTGACATTGATACAGCACTACAATGTGTATCAAGTGTGGATTATGGAAGTGTTTGAATTGATGTGCTATAGCACTAAAATGTATATCGTTACCAATTGTGAAGTATAGAAGTATTTCTATGTTATATTGATACAGCATCAAAATGTGTATTCTTCATGAAGTATGGAAGTGGTTTATGTGTTATTGATACAGCACCAAAATGTGTATCCATCATGAATTTGAAAAGTGTTTTAAAGATGGGTCATAATCTCATAAAGTTATTTGGCTAGGTTCTGAGCCTTGTTCTGAAACTCAAAGTTGAAAAGAAGTGGGAAATGAAATGTAACATGGACTTGAATGTCATGAAACTGTGATGTGTTATAAGTGGGAATATAAGTATGGACCATCTATCGAATGCTGTTATTTTAGTCATTTTTTATGGTTGGTTTGGTATATTTCTACTGGATTGTGGCTCACCCTATATGGGACATCATTTTCAGGTACAGGTAGCATGCCACCTCCAAGGACATAGCTTGCGAGGCTAGAGGCAGTCAGACTTTTGGTTGCTTTGCTTTCCTTTGATGTATTGCATGTAAATTCAAGCCAAGGGCTTAATATGTATATGAGTTAGTACTCACTTCTTGTAACCAAGTGTTGACTTGGAAAGTTGTAAGCCCATAGGGCGTTTACTTTTGTTGTCAACATGTAATACTTTTGTAAGAACTGCTCTGATAAATAGAAAGATGTTTATTTCTCTTATATTGTGCATGTCAAGAATGATGGGTTTTATGTATTATTTTGAGGGCGTTACATTCAATGCTTCATCTCTTTAAATTTTTAAAAAATTATAATTTAATAAAAATATATATATTAAGTGTTGAAGAGTCTCTTAATTGGAATTATAGTAAAATAATATCTTGAAATAGTGAAAGTTTGAGTATATGGTTGGTTGAAATTTATAATTTGATTAATTCTCTTCTCCCACAAGTCTCTCGTGCCTAGGCGGTCGTGTGTGCCAAGTTTTGTGCTAATTCGACCCCGTTTGGTGATTTTGGGGCGTCAACACCTCGAATTCAAGTTTTTTAATGAACTAGTTTGCTTAGAGTGAAATCCGGTTCTAACTCCCAAACGGAGAACCCGATTGGAGTCTCGTCTTCTCCCACAACTCTCTCATGCCAAAGCGGTCATGTGTGCCAAGTTTCGTGCTAATCCGACTCCGTTTGGTGATTTTGGAGCGTCAACACCTCGAATTCAAGTTTTTTAATGAACTAGTTTGCCTAGAGTGAAATCCGGCTCTAACTCCCAAACCGGGAACTCGATTGGAGTCTCGTCTTCTTCCACAAGTCTCTTGTGCCAAGGCGGTCGTGTGTGCCAAGTTTCGTGCTAAACAAACGTTGTTTGGAGATTTTAGGGCGTCAACACCTCGAATTCAAGTTTCTTAAGGAACTAGTTTGCCTAGAGTGAAATCCAGCTCTAACACCCAAATCGAGAGCCCGATTGGAGTCTCGTCTTCTCCCACAAGTCTCTCGTGCCTAGGCGGTCGTGTGTGCCAAGTTTCGTGCTAATCTGACGCCGTTTGGAGATTTCGGGGCGTCAACACCTCGAATTAAAATTTCTTAATGAACTAGTTTGCGTAGACCGAAATCTGGCTCTAACTCCCAAACCGGGAACCCAATTGGAGTCCCGTCTTCTCCCACAAGTCTCTCGTGCCTAGGCGGTCATGTATGCCAAATTTCATGCTAATCTGACGCCATTTGGAGATTTTGGGACGTCAACACCTCGAATTGAAATTTCTTAATGAACTAGTTTGCCTAGACTGAAATCCGGCTCTAACTCCCAAACCGGGAATCCGATTGGAGTCCCGTCTTCTTCCACAAGTCTCTCGTGCTTAGGTGGTCATGTGTGCCAAGTTTTGTGCTAACTTGACCCCGTTTGGTGATTATGGGGCGTTAATGCCTCGAATTCAAGTTTCTTAAGGAACTAGTGCGCCTAGAGTGAAATCCGGCTCTAACTCTCAAACCGGAAACTTGATTCGAGTCCCGTCTTCTCCCACAAGTCTCTCTCGCCTAGGCGGTCGTGTGTGCCAAGTTTCATGCTAAACCGATGTGGTTTGGTAATTTTGGGGCGTCAACACCTTGAATTCAAATTTCTGAATGACCTACTTTGCCTAGAACGAAATTTGGCTCTAACTCCCAAACTAGGAACCCGATTGGAGTTCCGCTTTCTCCCACAAGTCTCTCGTGCCTAGGTGGTCGTGTGTGCCAAATTTTGTGCTAATCCAACGCCGTTTGGAGATTTTGGGGCGTCCCACCTCGAATTGAAATTTCTTAATGAACTAGTTTGCCTAGACCGAAATCCGGCTCTAACTCCCGAACTGGGAACCCGATTGAAGTCCCGTCTTCTTCCAAAAGTCTCTCGTGCCTATGCTGTCATGTGTGCCAAGTTTTGTGTTAATCCGACCCCGTTTGGTGATTTCGGGGCGTCAACGCCTCGAATTCAAGTTTATTAAGGAACTAGCTTGCCTAGAGTGAAATCTGGTTCTAACTCCCAAACCGAGAACCCGATTCAAGCCCCGTCTTCTTCCACAAGTTTCTCATGCCTAGGCGGTCATGTGTGCCAAGTTTCGTGCCAAATCGATGCCGTTTGGTGATTTTGGGGCGTCAACACCTTGAATTCAAATTTCTTAGTGACCTAGTTTGCCTGGACCAAAATTTGGCTCTAACTCCCAAACCGAGAACCCGATTTGAATCCCGTCTTCGCCCACAAGTCTCTCGTGCCTAGGCAGTTGCTTGTGACAAATTTTGTGCTAATCTGACCCTGTTTGGAGATTTTGGGGCGTCAACACCTCAAATTCAAATTTCTTAATGAACTAGTTTGCTTAGATTGAAATCCGGCTCTAACTCCTAAACCGGGAACCCGATTGGAGTCCTGTCTTCTCCCACAAGTCTCTCGTGCCTAGGCGGTCATGTGTGCCAAGTTTTGTGCTAATCCGAACCCCGTTTGGTGATTTTGGGGCGTCAACGCCTCGAATTCAAGTTTCTTAAGGAACTAGTTTGCCTAGAGTGAAATTCGGCTCTAACTCCCAAACTGGGAACCCAATTCTAGCACTGTCTTCTCCCACAAGTCTCTCGTGCCTAGGCGGTCATGTGTACCAAGTTTCGTGCTAATTCGACTCCGTTTGGTGATTTTGGGGCGTCAACACCTCGAATTCAAGTTTTTTAATGAACTAGTTTGCCTAGAGTGAAATCTGACTCTAACTCCCAAACCAGGAACCCAATTGGAGTCCTATCTTCTCCCACAAGTCACTCGTGCCAAGGCGGTCGTGTGTGCCAAGTTTCGTGCTAAACCGATGTTGTTCGGAGATTTTGGAGCGTCAACACCTCAAATTCAAATTTCTTAATGAACTAGTTTGCCTAGACTGAAATCCGGCTCTAACTCCCAAACCGGGAACTCGATTGGAGTCCCGTCTTCTCCCACAAGTCTCTCGTGCCTAAGCGGTCATGTATGCCAAGTTTTCTGCTAATCCGAACCCCGTTTGGTGATTTTGGGACATCAACGTCTCGAATTCAAGTTTCTTAAGGAACTAGTTTGCCTAGAGTGAAATCCAGCTGAAACTCCCAAACCAGGAACCCGATTCGAGCATTGTCTTCTCCCACAAGTCTCTCGTGCCTAGGCGGTTGTGTGTGCCGAGTTTCGTGCTAAACCGATGCCGTTTGGTGATTTTGGGGCGTCAACACCTCAAATTCAAATTTCTTAATGAACTAGTTTGCCTAGACCGAAATCCGGCTCTAACTCCCAAACCGGGAACTCGATTGGAGTCCCGTCTTCTCCCACAAGTCTCTCGTGCCTAAGCGGTCATGTATGCCAAGTTTTCTGCTAATCCGAACCCCGTTTGGTGATTTTGGGACATCAACGTCTCGAATTCAAGTTGCCTAGGCGGTCATGTGTGCCAAGTTTTGTGCTAATCCGAACCCCGTTTGGTGATTTTGGGGTGTCAATGCCTCGAATTCAAGTTTCTTAAGGAACTAGTTTGCCTAGAGTGAAATCCGGCTCTAACTCCCAAACCGGGAACCCGATTTGAGCCCTGTCTTCTCCCACAAGTCTCTTGTGCCTAGGCGGTCGTGTGTGCCAAGTTTCGTGCTAAACCGACGCCGTTTGGTGATTTTGGGGCGTCAACACCTCCAATTGAAATTTCTTAATGAACTAGTTTGCCTAGACCGAAATTCGGCTCTAACTCCCAAACCGGGAACTCGATTGGAGTCCCGTCTTCTCCTGCATGTCTCTTGTGCCTAGGCGGTCATGTGTGCCAAGTTTTGTGCTTATCCGAACCCCGTTTGGTGATTTTGGGGTGTCAATGCCTCGAATTCAAGTTTCTTAAGGAACTAGTTTGCCTAGAGTGAAATCCGGCTCTAACTCCCAAACCGGGAACCCGATTCGAGCCTTGTCTTCTCCCACAAGTCTCTCGTGCCTAGGCGGTGAGCTCTCTATTATCGAAAGACTCACTGTTGGTGCTTTTACTGGCATGACTTCAACTTTTGTGAGTAATATAGCAAATGAGATCACTTCTGACCTTAACTTTATGGGTGATTATCTGTATTGGATCTTGTATTTTCTATATTAGTACCCTATATATATGTCTATTAACAAATATTTAAGCCCATAATCGTTGATATTTGTTTCTTTATAGGTAACATACCCTCTTGATGTCTTTAGGTTAAGATTACCTGTTGAGCCTGGGTATAAAACAATGTCTGAGGTAAGACTGACCAATTTGAATTGTATTTCTGAAGGAGTTTCTCCACATATCATGGGTCTTATTGGATTGTTTTCAGGTTGCCTTGAACATTCTAAGAGAGGAGGAAGTTGGGTCATTTTATACTGGCCTTGGACCTTCTCTAATTGCAATAACACCTTATATTGCTGTGAACTTTTGCGTTTTTGACTTGTGAGCTTACTCTTTCAGTAATATATTTTTCTCTATTGTTTATTAAATGATATACAAATATAATATTTGTATTTCTTAAATTTGGATCTATATATTGGGATGAAGAAGTCTTTGCCAGAGAAGTATCGAAAGAGGACTGAAACATCTATGGTAACAGCTTTGCTGTCAGCTACTCTTTCCACGATTATGTGCTTTCCTTTGGATACAATGAGAAGGCAAATGCAAATGAAGGGTACACCTTACAAGATAGTTTTGGATGCCTTTTCAGGTAACTCAATTCTTTTAATTATCAACTGTTGTAAACCAACAGAAACTAATGCAAATCGTATCATAATAAATCTTGGTTAATTCTATCTATAACATATCCAAAGTTGTAAGCATTTCATTTATGCTTTCATATGTCATTAGTAAAGCAGAGGAAGCCTTTATTCTCAACATTGGGAATAGACTTAATAAGGTCATATGGTGCATATCTTGATATACATACATACATATATAAAAATCAAGTCATTTCTTTGCGTAAAGAAAGTATTTATGTACCATGCACACACATTCAGTTCGCTACTATCAATAAACTAAACGTAATAGGAGATCTCTCACGACTTTCATCTCAGATGATCCCCATCCCCTCTCACTCATCCCTCTCACTTCCACTCTTTCTGATTTACATGTTCAACTTTCAACAATCCGAGTGCATCTTCTAAGGAGACATATATAATACATATATATATATATATATATAGAGAGAGAGAGAGAGAGAGAGAGAGAGCATACAGGCATCACTCGCTGAGTGAGTGAGAGAGGAGCGCTTGAGATTGGCTGAGCTCGCACGAGAGAAAGATAGAGACCCTGCACCACCGCTAGTCGTAATACGCTGTCGCCGCACCACCACTAGCCGTCGTCGACAGCGATTGAGCCTGCTCGCTGTCGTCGCTCGTCGAGAGAGAAATCGTCGGTGAACACTCGAGCTTGTTTGAGGATTTTGGAGGAAAAGATCTTGTTTCGAAGATTTAGGGATTTTGGATCAAAATGATCGAGCGCCAAACAATAGGAGAAGCGGGACAAAAAAAATTTATTACTTTTTGCGACGGTATATTTAAACCGTCACAATTGATAAATAAAAATAGGTAAAACGACGCCATTTTACTAACGTTTTTTTTTTTTTTTTTTGTGATGGACATTTGCCATCGCAAATTGTCCACTATTTGCGACAGCAAATTTCTCCCATCTCAAAAAAATTCTTTTTGCGACGGTACACAAAGGCGTCACGAATACTTCGGTCTTTATCACACCTTTTCATGTATGTTTATTAGCGATGGGATGACTACCGCCGCAAAGCTATTTATTTGCGACGGTTTAAACTGCCGTCGCAAAAGATCATTTTTTGCGATGGGAAACGCGCCGTTGCAAAAAGTTTCATGTTTTATACTGCCTTTTCTTGTAGTGTTACCCATATATTATTTTAGGATCAATTTAAGATGGGCCGAGATACCAATGCAAATTTTAGGATAAATTACAAACATAATCCCTGAGATTTACTTAAATAACAAATTACCCCCTATGGTTCTAGAAATTACGTTACGCCCCCTAAGGTTTTTAATTTCATAACAAATACGTCATTTTATTAATAAATCATTGAGTTAATTAATAGTTTTTAATAATGTTAAAATTTTATTTTAATTAATAATTTAGATAATTTTATTATTGTATAGGTGAATAGTTAAAAATTTCACATTTTCAATTAATTCTGTTAAATAAAAAATTCTGATAGGAAAGTATTTGTAATTTTTTAAACCACAAGGGACAATTCGTATTTTAAGCAAATCTCAGAGAGTGACCCACAGATTTTAATTTCAATCCATTTATCAAACGAGTTTAAAATATTAGTCCAGCCCAACTTACAGGCCCAAACACTATTTCCAAACCTAAAAATGTAGGACTAAATTGGGCCGCCAATAGTTCGATACCCAGAGTCAGAGAGGGTCGGTGTCTGAAAACAACCTCCTACCATAATCAAATCCCAAAACCTGGACAAGTTTGAGAGAGAGAGAGAGAGAGAGAGAGAGAGAGAGAGAGATGGCTAGGTTGTTGGCATGTGCAGCAGATGTGGTGGGAGGTGGAGGGCAGAGTAATGATGAAGATGATATCAATGCAATCCTAGTAGCCTTCACTCCAGAGCAGGAAAATAGTCAATAAGATAAAATATCATATCAAATCCATAATCATTTTATTTTTTTCTCTTGCAAACATCACATCCAATGACAAAAAAAATCAACCATTTTCCTAAACACAACTATTTTAGCATATTAAAAAAGCTAAAAACTAAAATAGTCTATTAAAATAGCCAACTTCCTAAACACCCACATAGTGTTCTTGAAGTCTAAAAATTATGTCAGTTTGAGGAGATTTCTGTAGAGGTTTGTTGAACTAATGATGGAATTTATCCCTTTTTTTTCTTGCACTTTGCAAATGGAAGGGAATAGGCTAGGTATGGACCGGGTTGGATTGGATTATAATGTATTGCATTTGGGTGCAAGATGTTTAAACATGTTCTAGTAATGCCTAATCTTTGAGGCCAACTGTGCTATGTGCACAATTTTATTTTTTTATTTTTAAAAAATAAGAAATAGATGTAATTCAAAATATTTGCATATAACAACACATTGATGATTTGGTGTGCATAATTTTCTATGTTCCTAAATTTTTTCCTTGCAATTCTTGAATCATGAAATTCTTAAAAAGAGATTAAAAGAAAAAATGTGAAGCACAATAGCAGGGCATGCAAATAATAATAATAATAATAATAATAATAATAATAATAATAATAATAATAATAACAACAACAATTGCCTATCTATGTATGTAAATTTTATCTATTAAGAATAGGAAGAAAATATTTATAGAAGCAAAGTTGTGTAACTAGTACATTTTGTTAAAAAATGTACGGTACATAGAAAATCAATGGCTAAGATTGAGCCATATCATTAAAAGTGACCTGCTAAATTATGAGCCAAAATCATATTTCTTCATAACTATAATCAAATTGATCATAACTTAGTCATAACCATATCTCATAACCAACACCATTTTGTTCATAACTAATATCACATATTCATAACCACATCTCATAACTAGCCCCTTTGAGTCATAACCAACATCACATATCTCATAACTACTTGTCATATATTTCATAACCAACACTTCTTTTTTTTTTCATAACAAACACCACATATCTTATAACCATTAATCACATATCTGATAACTAACACTCTTTTACTCATAACTACACCACTTTGATCATAACCAATATCACATATCTCATAACTATTACCCACATGAATCATAACCATATCTCATAACCAACCCTTTTGAGTCATAATCAACATCACATATCTCATAACTAACAACCCTTTTGCTCATAACCACACCACTTTGATCATAATCAATATCTCATATCTCATAACCACTAACACATATAGCATAATCAAACAGCTTTTGACACCACTTTGCTCATAACCAACATCACATATCTTATAATTATTAATCAAATATCTCATAACCATTACCCACATATCTCATAACTAACATCACATATATCATAACTACTAATCACATATCTCATAACTACACCACTTTGATCATAACCAACATTACATATCTCATAACCACTAATCATATATCTCATAACCAAACACACTTTAACTTATAACTACACCACTCTGCTCATAACCAAAATCACTTATCCAATAATCACTAATCATATATCTCATAACCTTTACCCACTTATGTCATAACCACATCTCATAACCAATACCATTTGACTCATAACCAACATCACATATATCATAACCACTAATAACATCTCATAACTATAGCGATCCCGGTTTTCCCTTTCTATATCTGTTGTTTTTCAAACTTTGGTTCTGTGATGTTGGTGGTTGTGTACCTGGTTGTCATCCTTTAATTCCGCTTGATTGAGTTTTAGGATGTATTGGGCAGAGTTGTTATAGGTTGGTTAGACTTTGGTTTCAATTCCTTGTTGCCCAATTTTTAAGAGGTCCGCTGGAGCGGGTATTCTTGCTCTCGAGCGGAGATTGCACACTCTCAGTATTTTGGTGCTCTGCGAAACTTCTGCAAGCATGTTTTTCACGCTCGAGTGGCTTTCTTTACGCTCGAGCGGTCGCGCTCGAGCGGGTACTCTGGAGCTCGAGCGGGTGGTACATTTTTGGTGTAGGTTCTGGGAGGGGGAAATCTACGCTCGAGCGGACTGGTTTTTGCGCTCGAGCGGATGTACTTTATTCTTGTGTCTTGGCGCTCGAGCTGGATTTCTTACGCTCGAGCGGACCTAGTTTTTTGTTATTGACGCTCGAGCGTTGTGTTTTCCACTCGAGTGGGAATGTCGTATAACAGAGGACAGTTGGGCATTTTTGAATCATTTTTCTACACTTTCTCTCTCTCTCTGTATTTGTTGTTTTCCGGACCTTGGTTCCGTGATGTTGGTGGTTGTATACCTTGTTGTCATCCTTTAATTCCGCTTGATTGAGTTTTAGGATGTATTGGGCAGAGTTGTTACAGGTTGGTTAGACTTTGGTTTCAATTCCTTGTTGCCCAGTTTTTAGAAGGTCCGCTCAAGCGGGTCTTATTGCGCTCGAGCGGAGATTGCACACTCCCAGTATTTTGGTGCTCTGCGAAACTTCTGCAACCATTTTTTTCATGCTCGAGCGGCTTTATTTACGCTTAAGCGGTCGCGCTCGAGTGGGTGCTCTGGAGCTCGAGCAGGTGGTACTTTTTGGTGTAGGTTCTGGGAGGGGGAAATCTACGCTCGAGCGGACTGGTTTTTGCGCTCGAGCGGATGTACTTTATTCTTGTGTCTTGGCGCTCGAGCTGGATTTCTTACGCTCGAGCGGACCTAGTTTTTTGTTATTGACGCTCGAGCGTTGTGTTTTCCACTCGAGTGGGAATGTCGTATAACAGAGGACAGTTGGGCATTTTTGAATCATTTTTCTACACTTTCTCTCTCTCTCTCTCTCTTACTTTTTCAAATCGCCATTTGAGAGCTTCTCTCTCTAGAAACTCCCTTCTCTCTAGGGTTTGATCTAGTTAGAGTGCTTCCCTTCCCTTTGGCCTTTGTAAAAGTTAGGTTGATCGTCGAGGGCTACATTTTGATCTGAGAAACTTGTGATTTGGAGCAACTTCTTTTTCGTCATCTTCTTCTTTGGGTGTCATCTATTGATGTAGGGATACCCTACTCCTCTTTATGAGCTTTGTCTTTGAATTTTAGCGTTTTGATATGTTGGGGTTGTTGGGTAATTTTGAGAAAGTTTGGGTCTTGTGTAATTTTACAAAAGATGGGGTTTTATTTATAATTAAACCTATAGGCATGTTTGGCATAGAGAAATGATATAGATGATGAACTATGGATAAAAGTGGAACCTTGGGATTGTTATGTTAATTATGGGAAAATGACCTAATTAGTTAGATAAATTAATTTGTATAAATAATTTTGAGAAATGAAGAATTGAATTGAGAGTATTCAAATTGAAAAGATTATGGGATTAACGGGTGTAGTTGGATTCATTTAATCGCTCACGCAGGTTGAATGTTGATAATATATCCATTTGGTACATTTATTTCCTGTTTAGAAATAACTGCTTTGGGCTATCGGTGGAGGATAGCCTTGATTGTTGTAGACAATGCATGATGATTAGGCAAACTAAAACTAATCGATTGAGTATGCTACCGAATATAGCGATTGGAATAATACATCGACTTTATGTATTGATTGTTTATGTATATGATCTATGTTTATATACATTGTGTGTGTGGGAGGAGATATGGGATGTACTCCACGGTTTAGGGGAAGATAGGGGATGGACCTCTAAGCCGGGTTGTGTGTGACATTGATACAACACTACAATGTGTATCAAGTGTTGATTATGGAAGTGTTTAGATTGATTTAATATAGCACTAAAATGTATATCGTTATCAATTGTGAAGTATAGAAGTGTTTCTATGTCATGTCGATACAGCACCACAATGTGTATCGTTCGTATAGTATGGGAGTGGCTTATGTGTTATTGATACAGCATCAAAATGTGTATCCACCATGAATTTCGAAAGTATTTTTAAGATGAGTCTTATTCTCATCAAGTTATTTGGCTAAGTTTTGTGCCTTGTTATCAAACTCAAGGGTGAAAAGGAAATGAGAAATGAAATGTAACATGGACTTAAATGTCATGAAACCGGAATGTGATATAAGTGAGTGTCTCAGTGTTGACCATGTATCAACTGCTAATCTTTTAGTCATTGTTCATAGCTGGTTTAGCGTATCTCTGCTGGGCTGTGACTCACCCTTTATGGGACATTATTTTCAGGTACAGGTAGCATGCCACCTCCAAGGACATAGCTTGGGAGGCTAGAGGCAGACAGACTGCTTTTGTTGTTGTTTTCTTTTGATGTATTACATGTAAATTCAAGCCAAGGGCTTAATATGTATTGAGTTAGTACTCTTCTTTTTGTAACTAAGTGTTAGCTTGGAAAGCTGTAAGCCCGTAGGGCATTTGCCTTTTGTTGTTAACATGTAATACTTTTGTAAGAACTACTCTGATTAATGGAAATATGGTTGGTTTCTTTTATATCAATGCATGTCTAAATTGATGGGACCTATATATTATTTTGAGGGCGTTACAATAACCACTACCCACATATAGGGGTGTAAATTTGGCCCACGAGCTCGCGACGTACCCCAAGTCCAGTCGCACCCTGGGTGGGCCCAACTAAGCCTGAGCCTAAGTCCAACCTAAGACCCTGGGTTATGTGTTCTAGAGCTCGGCCCAACTCTGGTGTGTTATGGAGTGTGCCCCATCTCGTGACCCAAAATTTTTTTCCCCATCTGGCCCGACCCAATCCCAACGGCTCTCTGCCCCCTGTTAGTGCAACAGTCAAAAACTAAAAATAAATAAATAAATTTTGAAACAGTCATATAACTGTTAATTCCACAAACAACCAATTTTTTTTATTATTTTTATATATATAAATTAACCTCTCCCTCCCAAGTCCTATAAATACCACCCCTTCCTCATTTTATTTCTCACAAACAAATCTGTCTCTCAAACTCTCATTATCTCTGAACTCTCAACTCTCTCAATTAATTTTGAAGTGTCATCCCTAAGTGACAATTACAATTGATCACCTATCTCTATTTTAAATTTATTTTTAGTCATAGTATCTTCATTAAATATAATAGAAATAGTAATGTACAAACGATGTACTTTTTAAAATATCTATATACACTTATAGACATATATATATATATAATTTAACTAAATTTTAATAAAAAATATGTTGAAAAAAATTATCTATGACGTGATTTATTTTTTTGTTCTACTAAATAAATTTTCTCCTAAATTTTTTCCCCTAACTTTTCTTCGTTTTTTTTCTCTACTCTGTTTTATTTCCCTTTATTTGTCCTAGTTATGCCTGAGCTCTCTCTATTTCTTACTCAAACTTCTCTATTTCGCTCAAATTGTCGAATGACCATTGTTGATAGTTCTTTGTCACTGGATTCTTCCTCTTTGGATTCTTCCTCTCTCTACTCCTGTGTCTCTGTTATAGATCCTTGAACTCGTCATTACTCTCTTTGTTTATTTCAACACTATTTATTCTAGTGATATTTCTCTATCTAGTAAATGCATCTATCTCGAAACTCTAGCTCTTTCACATTAATATGTCATACATAGTGATTTGTTTAGTCATTTTATGATAATTGTTATGAAACTTTGTTACTTGATTACAATATTAGTGGTTTATAAAAAATTTGGATATTTTTGCTACATCAATTAGTTGGGTAATTACGCATTTTGTAATTGATGTTATTAAATTTTGTGAGTTGGTTATGACATTTGTGGTTTTTAAATTTTTTTGATGTTTTTGTTACACCAATTAGTGGATAGTTACATAATTTTTGGTTAATGTTACAAAATTTTAGGAATTAGTTATGACATTTGTGATTTTTTATAATTTTAAACAAGTTTTGTTACGCTAATTAGTGATGGCGTTATGTATTTTGTGTTTTATATTGCAAAACTTTGTGACTTAATTATGATATTTGTGGTTTCTAAAATTTTAAATATTTTTATTATGCCAATTAATGGTGTGATTATACATTTTGTAGTTGATGAGTGAAATAGTCTTTTTTTTTTAATTAATTTTACATAATAAAAATAGATGAAGGATTTATATTAAAAATAAATTTAAGTATAAATTGACAAAATTATAAATTAATAATTTATTTTATTATAAGACTATTCATAAATGTTTTAATGTTGTTTTTTATAATGATTATTACATAATTTCAAACCCATTTTATTCAAAAATTTGAAACAAACATCCAAATTTTGTCAAAATCAAAATTCCCTCATTAATTGTTTTTGACAGATACTTAGACCCTTTCTTTAGCCCAAACAAGAGAGAGAGAGAGAGAGAGAGAGAGAGAGAGAGAGAGAGAGAGAGAGACTAATTTCTGGACTTGGGGTGTGTCGCGAGCTCGTGGGCCAAATTTACACCTCTATATATGAGTAATGGTTATGAGATATGTGATTGGTAGTTATGATATATGTGATGTTGTTTATGAGGCAAACGGTATTGGTTATGAGATGTGGTTATAACATAAGTGGGTAAAGGTTATGAGATATATGATTAGTGATTATTAGATATGCGATTTTGGTTATGAACAAAGTGATGTAGTTACAAGTCAAAGGATGTTTGGTTATGAGATATGTGATTAGTGGTTATGAAATATGTAATGTTGGTGAGAGGGTGATTTATGATCCGGTGTTGGGCCGGGGTATCGACCGGGCAAGCTGAGGGCCCAGCAGTGCATTGGGCCGAGATGATCAACTGTTCACCCGGAGATGGGCTACCAGAACTTGGGCCGGGCAAGGTTTGGACGGTGTGCCGCCCCGGACCGTGCAGAAGTTGCTCGGTCGGGAAGTGACCGGTCAGACCAGGATCCTTGGTCCGAGGATGGTCGAAACCAGACAGACCGAGAGACCGGCGCTCGGAAAGGCGCGGTCAGCCGAGGTAGTTGATTGACCGGCGAGAAGGCCGATCAAAGTAAGCATCCGGGCTAGGCTCGGCCGGGATGCCGCTTGGCCCGGTCCACCGTTTGTTTATCCGGTTAGGCGCTTAAGGTATGAAGCATGGTACGACCGAGGTAGGGCAGCTCGGCTGCCGAGCACCAGCTGTGCTGGCAGGCAGTTGAGAGCAGGTGATGAATGGCATGGTTTATGCTGACAGATGGGATAGCAGAGCCACATGTCAGGAGATGACAGGGAGTGGATATGGGGCTCAGAAGGTATATAAGCATGTCTGCGCCCCCCATACGCAACACACGAACACATCTGTAAGGATTTCTTACACTCAAACATTCTCTCCCTTCTCTCGATTCCCTCTAAGGTGTGTGCTAACTTGACCGTCGGAGGGTTTTTCCGGCCACACACCGCCGGGTAGCTCACCATTACTTGCTCGCAGGTGATCGGACGTCGACGGAGCTCGGAAGAAAGGAATACGGGCACGCCGGAATATTTGCTCCCCGTACAGTTGGTTATGATCAAAGTGGTGTGGTTATGAGATATGTGATTTGTGGTTATGATATATGTGATGTTGGTTATGAGATATGTGGATAATGGTTATGAGATATTTGATTAGTGATTATAAGATATGTGATTTTGGTTATGAGTAAAGTGGTGTCAAACGGTGTTTGGTCATGCTATATGTGTTAGTGGTTATGAGATATGAGATATGAGATGTTGGTTATGATCAAAGTGGTATAGTTTTGAGCAAAAGAGTTATTGGTTGTAAGATATATGACTAGTGGTTATGAGATATGTGATGTTGGTTATGACTCAAACGGGTTGGTTATGAGATATGGTTATGATTCATGTGGGTAATAGTTAGGAGATATGTGATCGATAGTTATGAGATATGTGATATTGGTCATGAACAAAGTGGTGTGGTTATGAGCAAAATGGTGTTGGTTATGAGATATGTGACTAATGGTTATAAGATATGTGATGTTGGTTATGAAAAAAAAAAAAGTGTTGGCTATGAAATATGTGACTAGTGGCTATGAGATATGTGATGTTAAGAACCCTGGACTCCTCTGATTTCCTTTGCCCCTCTTTTTGGTAACCGTTTACACCGGTTGCCAATTCAAAATTAAATTATTAAAATAATTTAGTTATGTGGTAGTTATGAGATAATATATTATGTATGAATAACTAAATATAAATAAGTTATGTGTTAATATGATAATGGTTATGATCTATGGTATTATTATAATATAAAATCACATGTTCTCGTAACTGATGCATGGTACATCTAAATGTACCATAGCATAGGAATATCTATTGGGGAAAAATGCTACGTCACTGAGAGATGCAAAACATAAGGATCAACATGCTCAAGAACAAATCCAATATAACTAATATCTTGCTTCAATTTATGTATACAATTTAGCCTCCGTTTGGGAAGTGGGTTAGCTTTTTGGTTTTTTTGGCTATTTTAGCCTGGGGCTAAAAAGCCTGGTTTGTGAAGGGCTTTTTGGCTTTTTTGGCTTTTTGGTGAGGTGTCATATTGTTAAATGACGAAATTGCCCTTTTCCATTTTTTTATTTGGGTTTGGATTTGGCATATTTTCGGTTTTTTTTTTTTTTTTTGCTAAATTTTTTTTTTTTTTTGGGTTTGGATTTGGCTTTTTTTTTTTTTTGTTTTTTTTTTTTTTGTGTTTTTTTTTTCAATTTTTTTTTTTTGTTTAAATTTATTTATTTATTTATTTTTGGATTTGGCATATTTTGGTTTTTTTTTTAAAATTTTTTTATGTTATCTTTCGATTTCGCGTATTTTGCAATTTATTTTTTATTTTTGGGGGTTTGGATTTGGCTTTTTTTTTTGTGTTTATTTATTTTATTTTTTTTATATTGGGTGTTGATCTGCCGACTTTTGCTTAATTTGCTTATTTTTTATTTTTTTTATTTTTGGTTTGAATTTGCCATATTTTGGTTCTTCTTTTTTATTTTAATTTTTTTATGTTGGGGTTTCGATTTTGCCTTTTTTTTTGTTTTTTTTTTTGGGGGGGGGTTTCGCTTTGGCTTTTTTTGCTTTATGTTTTTTTGTTGACAATTTTTGTATGTTGTGTTTCAATCTCCCGAATTTTGCAAATCCAAATTTTGTATTTTTTTTTTTGAGTTTGGCGGATTTTGCGTTAACTTTTTTTTCTGTTTCAAATTTTTTTATTTTGCGCTTGGATTTTTCATATTATGCTTAATTTTTTATCCTGTTACTTTTTTGCATTTTGGGTTTGGATTTGGGGTTTTCTGCTTAAGTTTTTTGATTTTTATTTGGGAATTTATGTTTTAGTCTTTTGTATTTTTTTGTTTTTTACTATAACTACGTTTTTTTTAACTATGTTTTTTTTTTTGTCTTGGATTTTTATTTTTAACTATGTCTTGTTTTTTTTAATTGGTATACAATAACTTTTTTTTAATATATTTATGTGTTTCATTTATTTGTAATTTACGTCGCCCATGACAATTTGTGTATTAGTTTTCTTTTTCATTTGTTTTTATTTGTTTCACCTTTTTTTGTTTTTCCAAAAGCAAAATTCGTATGGATTGTTGTTTTTTAAAGTTAGGCACGTCAGCAACTGGAAGGGGTTACATTCCCGTGGCAACTCATACATATTGTACATGATAATATATTTGAATTGGGTCTGTTCCACATGTGTCATTACGGGACAACCATACGAAAATTATTTCGACTACTAAATATTTCTTAACATTCCGTTATTACGCATGTAACATAATTTGTCACGTATGTGAAGGCGGACCAATGCCATATGGGGGTCCTCATCTCCAACCATTAAACCATCCTCGTCATGCTCAACTTCTGGTATGGCAGTTACTATTGTCATAGCCTCTTCCTCATCATAGATTGGCTGAACAGTTGTTGGGTTACCTGTGTTTCGCCGTATATAATTATGTAATGCCATTGACGCACCTACTAACTGAACTTGCACATTTGCAAAGTCATACCGAGGCATGTCTCGAATAAACCCCCATCGATTTTTCCAGGTACCGAAAGTGCGTTCCACCACACTACGTAAGGACGAGTGCACTTTGTTAAATAATTCCCTTGGTGTGTTTGCCATCGTGTTCCGTGCAATACGCCAGAATTCTTGTTGGTGGTAACGGTGGCCTTTGAATGGTGCTAAGTAACCAATCCGGTTTGCATAGTCAGAATCGACAAGATAATATTTGCCTGCAGATATGACGACAATGTATGACACCAAAACGAACATTCTGCGTCATTTTCATATAACGCTTTGTCAGGAAAAAAGTATTTGTTAACAAACCTAATAATATGACCATGTGTTACCTTCGTCAGGATGTGGGAAGGAGACATTGTCATTTGTTAGTATCTCGTTGAATATGCGACTATCATGCATACTTCCTTCTCATCCGCAAGAAATGAATATGAAACACATGTCAAAATCGACAGCGGCCATTATATTTTGCGTGTGACAGTATTTCCTACCGAAATATGTTGCCGCATCTGGCCCCGTAACCCATGCACTGACATGTGTTCCGTCTATTGCGCCAATGCAGTCCTGCAAACATGGATAAATTGTTTTGTTGCGTAAATTAATAACAAGTGTTTCCTTCTTGCCAAGCGTCAAGTGTAGTTAATAACAAAAACAAAATATATTTTCTTGATTTATATGTCAATCAGGTATTTCCGTCTAGAAGTACCTTGAACGGTAGGTATTTCCGTCTAGACCGCACGTATGGATGTATACGATGCTGACTGTATGTGGGCCGGCAATGAACAACAGTGAACTCTTTCATGGAAGTTAATACGTTATGCACGTGCCTCGACACAGTCTCCCCGGAATGTTGGAACCGTTCTTGGATTTCCCGATTTTGCTTCCCTTTCAACACATGGATAAACATCGCAACGCTTTCTTCAACAGCTAAGCCATGTGGACGTTGCGGGACTTGTAACCCAAAATCATTTACTAATGTCTCACACAATGCGGCAAAAACTTCCTTCGGCATGCAAACATTTTCCTCAAATCGACCCATATGCCCCGTATATAGTTCGCATATCCATGCATTCCCGGTTAGTATAGAAGTGCGACACGGCGTTTTATTCATGTGTTTCTCGTACCATTCTGTCGCCCACTGACATGCTTGTACAAATGTGCAATTCTGTTCTTGTTGCACCTGGACCGCCATTTGATTAAGCATTTCCGTTATGTCATCATGGTTGCTTCCATCCCAGGGATTCATCGCGTCTTCGTTCATGCGAAACCCACAAAAGTGGCAGCCTTTCATTCAGTTGGCACATGAATCACTGACTTAAATTATATTGAAGTTTGCAATTAAAAAATTCCGAGAATGTCTTTTATTAAAAGCAATGCCGTCACAAATGTCATATGGAACGCATGCTCATATGAATTACACAAAAAATCAAGATGTTCAACTTATGCTTTACAGGGGGGTCATGGTGGTAACAACCACAAAAGTAGCCAGCAAACTACACTAACAAATGAACTTCAGACATATAGGCATTCACAAGCGTGCAAGTAAAACGTAATTCCCTGTCTCAAACGTAGACACACAAAATATTAAAACACAAACATCCCATTCATTTCCCAAAAACGAAGCACAACCATGCTTCCGGTCCGTCAACCCATACACTTACCTAAAACCTGTTGCTGCCCATAGCTAGCAAGAAAAAAACAAAAACGACATAATAAAAACATTCACACAGCACTATCCTGTTTTAGTACATTGCCAACAATACCATAAGTCAACATTTTAAAAAAGAAGACAAGGAGATATATCTTAAACACTCGTAACACCGCTACATCACATCCGGCGACCCCCAAACAGGTTTGCAAAAGGCGCCGACGCAGTACACTGGAGCTGTTTCTGTGTAAGCCATCCAATGATGTGGTCGTCATCAGGCTGGCACATCATGATCTCCCGGTAATCGGCGTTATCCATAAGTGTGGAGGCGAAGTGGAATAACGGCATACCAATCATGGATGGAATACTGCTCAGCTTATGCATGCACTCGGAAATAGTGTACAGCGATTTGTTGCCTGTGAGGTGCCTAACCGTGACCTGCTGATTCTTCGAACGAACCACATCTGTCATTCTGTCCATGCTTTCCGCAATAACGGACGCACCACTTGTTGCCTTCTTCGACTTTGAAACACTTGTTGATGGCGTCTTTCTCCTTTTTGGCTTTTCAATCGGAACATGCTCGAGTGAAGAATCGGAATCCACGTCCTGTACTCCTGCGGGTATCGGATCAGCAAATGGCTGCGCTCCCAAACTACGCACTGAATCAGATGAGGCCTCATCAGCTTCAGGGAGGATCTCTCATGCGGTCCAATGGTGCTTCCCAGTAGCTGATGCCCCCATGAAAACCGTCTCCATCAAGTCACGATGTTCCAAAGTTTTTTTCCTGAACTTCGCACACACCTTGTTGATCTGCAGAAATGTAGATGTATAAAAGAGGCAGACGTTATATTTCATATAAATAAATTGTATTGCAGTTAAATGAAGAACTAAAAAATGTACTTGTAAATGACAGATATGAAACTTGTTTGTACATGTACTTACTGATTCCATCTTGTCCCACCACTCGTCAGGTGCCTGAAACAAACCGGTGTCATAGTCAAAGCCTATCCCGGACAGTCCCTTACTTGAATCCATCAACTTTGTCCACGCCTGCCACTCTTTTTTCAAGCTCATGTACTTATTCTTCAACTGTTTTAGTCCATGTTTTTTTTTCCAGTTTTTCTCTCAAATTTCCTTGACAACGACTTGTACCCTGCCTGGCTGAGGACTAAGAATGGGCGATAAGCGACTTGTACCCTGCCTGGCTGAGGACTAAGAATGGGCGATTTCCTTTACTAATCTCATTTGCGATCAACTGGAGGAAAACTCGGACTGAGTTACTGTCCCATGAGGCCTTGTGGCTTAACTGATTTTGTGTCTCTTCAAGGCTGCTTGACTTGTCACTGAGAATGCGTTTGCTTTTCGAGTGGTTACGTGGCGAAGTATGTGTGGAAGCCATTACTAATGTACGGTTACAAAAGATTACCATCACAAATTTGGTTGTTACATACACACGCATAAGCCATGACACATTATTAACAACAAACAGACATATATGATGCTAAAGTTAAATTTGCATATACCCATTGGAAATTACTAACGTACGTAAACAGGTTCCATGGAAGTTAGTAGTGGCCACAAAAAATATGATAGTTAGTATTATGGCTCTAGTATGCGAGAACATACTACCAACATACTACGAACGTACTAACTACATACTAACAACATACTGACAACATACTAACGTCTTCGTACATAGTAACAACATACTGACAACATACTAACGTCTTTGTACATACCCCCAAACATGGTACCGGTGCTTACATACGGTACAACAAAATGACAACCACAATGCAGAGCACATACACAATGGTGTTAAGGACACGCAAGGACTGTTGAATGTCTATGACATCAGCCCTCAAGTGCATGGCAATTTCATCTCCGGGAGACGCATAGCCTTGGTTCTCTCGCCTTGGTTCTTCACACCAACCAATCCAACTGACACAGGGCTGATGAGTGGAAATTATGGAACTATTAGTTTCAACGGTTGGTCATGTTCATACAGTTATGATCGGTAAAAATTGGGTCACTCACCACAGGGTGGGGACAGATGTGTTATAGAACTGTTGAAAAATGAATATTACACATTTTGTTGTACTGTTCTGCTATCTCAGTCCTCTTCATCCCTCAAGCATCTCTCTCATTCTTTATTGTCATTGTAGATATCTCTGATGTTCCTCATCAGAAACGACAACACATTTGACGTCATTTTCATAAGCGATAAGCCCATTTAGTCTCTCTTTCTCATTTTCCCTTTCCTCTTGCTCTACTAGCTAATCTTCTTTAACTCTCATTTTCTGTTCCATGGCTTTAAGTCGTTGATTAAATTATTTAATGATTGTCATTACATTTTGTTTTCTCTGTATTATGAGAGATCCCGATTGGTGATTCTAAGATTTTTAGTGGTTTGTTTAGTCATTTTATGATAATCGTTATGAAACTTTGTTGCTTGATTATAATATTTGTGGTTTATAAAAAAATTTGGATTATTTTGCTACATCAATTAGTTGTGTTGTTACGCATTTTGTGATTGATGTTATGAAATTTTTTGGGTTGGTTATGACAATTGGGATTTGTAAAAATTTTGATTATTTTTATTATGGCAATTAGTGGTGCAATTACGCATTTTGTAATTGATGTTATTAAATTTTGTGAGTTGGTTATGACATTTGTGGTTATTAAATTTTTTTGATGTTTTTGTTACACCAATTAGTGGATGGTTACATAATTTTTGGTTAATGTTACAAAATTTTAGGAATTAGTTATGACATTTGTGATTTTTTATAATTTTAAACAAGTTTTGTTACGCTAATTAGTGATGGCGTTATGTATTTTGTGTTTTATATTGCAAAACTTTGTGACTTAATTATGATATTTGTGGTTTCTAAAATTTTAAATATTTTTATTATGCCAATTAATGGTGTGATTATACATTTTGTAGTTGATGAGTGAAATAGTCTTTTTTTTTTTTAGTTAATTTTACATAATAAAAATAGATGAAGGATTTATATTAAAAATAAATTAAAATAAATTTAAGTATAAATTGACAAAATTATAAATTAATAATTTATTTTATTATAAGACTATTCATAAATGTTTTAATGTTGTTTTTTATAATGATTATTACATAATTTCGACCCCATTTTCTCCAAAAATTTGAAACAAACATCCAAATTTTGTCAAAATCAAAATTCCCTCATTAATTGTTTTTGACAGATACTTAGACCCTTTCTTTAGCCCAAACGAGAGAGAGAGAGAGAGAGAGAGAGAGAGAGAGAGAGAGAGAGAGAGACTAATTTCTGGACTTGGGGTGTGTCGCGAGCTCGTGGGCCAAATTTACACCTCTATATATGAGTAATGGTTATGAGATATGTGATTGGTAGTTATGATATATGTGATGTTGTTTATGAGGCAAACGGTATTGGTTATGAGATGTGGTTATAACATAAGTGGGTAAAGGTTATGAGATATATGATTAGTGATTATTAGATATGCGATTTTGGTTATGAACAAAGTGATGTAGTTACAAGTCAAAGGATGTTTGGTTATGAGATATGTGATTAGTGGTTATGAAATATGTAATGTTGGTTATGATCAAAGTGGTGTAGTTATAAGCAAAATGATTATTAATCATGAGATATATGACTAGTGGTTATGAGATATATGATGTTGGTTATGAAAAAAGGGTGTTGGTTATGAGATATGTGATGTTGGGACCCCTATACTCCTCTGATTTCTTTTGCCCTCTTTTTGGTAACCGATTACACCGGTTGCCAATTCAAAATTAAATTATTAAAATAATTTAGTTATGTGGTAGTTATGAGATAATATGATATGTATGAATAACTAAATATAACTAAGTTATGAGTTAATATGATGATGGTTCTGATCTATATGATATTAGTTATAATATAAAATCACATATCCTCATAATTGTTGTATGGTAAATCAAATGTTCGGAAGAAGAAAAAGAAAAATCAATAAGCCATAAAGCATTACCTGAATCAGATCGGTTTGAGTTTGAGAGGCTTGGTTCGTGTTCGCCGCCGCGGATGGGTACTCCGGTGGTGATTATGTCTGCGGGGGGCCCTGGTCAGCTGTCCTCCGATACGTCGGTGGTTCTTCTCTTCGTCTTTGTTGACTCGAAAGGGTATGTGCTGCGCAAGACGCCTGTTTGATGAATACAGATTGAGATGAATGAAGAGGGTCTTCGGGGCATTTGAGTCAATTTACAAGCGTAAGGGTTTGTTGGATACCCGTGAAGGCCATTTTGTCGGGACGTGGCTGAAATAGCCAATCTTGTCGCGACGTGGCTATTTTAGCCCGGCTTCTCCTTCCCAAACACAGGCTTAATATACAAGTTAGCTGTAACAATGAGCAAAGCAATCCAATCATATATATGTATATATATGTCAATTTTTTTAATTTTTAATTTTTGTTTTTACATACGAGTAAGAAAGAATGGTTTTGACCTCGAACCCACCAATCCATTCAAGACCGTCCTCAACCCACACAAAACCAAACAAACAACGAAAATTATCATTCAATAATTATATAGAACTAGTCCCATAACCGACCCTGAAGCAATGTAGTGGAGCAATTTTTTCAGTACTAGGTCCCATCGTTGATATGTATGATTACCATTATTTTCAATGACAATAGTGACCAAACCAGCAATTCTTCCCTCCTCCCTCATACCCATTTTCTTCATCAACTCTACTGTGAATCCACCATAAAAGATTTGTGAGTGAATTCCCATCATCAAACCCATTCAAATTCCTAATCTTACCCAAAGCACTCTCTTTGTCATAAACCCCTTCCAATGCATGCAAAAACCCCTTCCATCCCTCTAAAACTCCCTCCCTCCCTAACGCAGCCGACACCCATGCCACAAGATCCCTCACAAAACCACTTTCACAAAACAAAACCTCAGTGATTGGCAACAGTGGCAACAACTGAATCCCAACCCTGCACTCCCTCCATTCAGCTGGTGCAAACCAAAGTCCACTGTCCCTTTTATTAGCCCATAAAACACCTACAACTCTATTCTCTCTAGTAAATTCCTCTGCATACATAGTCCCTCCCTCTCTCACATGCCACCATGTTTGAGCTGAATGAATCTCCATTGCTGCAATTGTAGAAGCAGTCGCGACAAGGTGTGTGTCCCCATAAGCCAATCCCATCAATGCAGCTGAATAGTATGCGTTCACAGCCTCGCTCGTGCTCTCTTGGTTTCGCCCATCTGCAAATTCAGTCAGCCCTCCAGCCCAAGAATGAAGTTTCCATAGATCAAAACACCGCAAACGCGGATATTTTGAATTTTCTCGCTTGCCCAAGTTCATGAAATCTGCCATTAACGAGTAAGCTTGCGGCCTATAGTTTCTCCCCCAAGTTGGATCAATCTTTGCAAGCACTGCAATTGCATAAAGAAAAAGCCCCAAATGGTAATGGTGATCATCGTATATTCCAAACCCGAAATCAGCCCCGGAATCCGAAGATCCTTGTTTAGTCACAATGCCACCCCACTTCCCGTCATACAAGAAGCCATTTGTGCTAAAAGTTCCATCTAGCCATGGCTCAATCGTGTCCTTCAAGAACTTTCGAATACCCGGGATTGCATCAAAACAACCGACTTCTTCAGCAATCAATGCTAATCTTGCTGCTCTGGCAATCTGTTATCCATAAGAATAAGATGATGATGTTGTTGATGTTGTTGCTGGATTGAGAGCCACAACATCTTTGATTAGTGCAGCAACAATTTCAGGGTATGATTCTTCATTGATGCCTCCAAGTGAGTGCCAAGTTACAGAAACAGGGCTGGATTTCAATACCCATGAATCTCCAACAACACCCACAAGGTCTCCATCAATGCTTTTATACCTGAAATCATCCAAAACAGTGATTTTACTATCACTGCTTGAAAGAAGCTAAAGATGAAGAGGGTGGGCAAGCATGAGCAAATCTCCCCAACCTCTCTTATCCCATTTATACTCCAAAGAAAATGGATTGGAAAATAGGGCATCACCACATACCGGATAACAACGGCTGAACCGATCAAGGATTGATTCGTATCGTGGGTCAGAATTTGGTACAATAGCAATCCGAATTATGCCAGAAAACCCATTAGAAATTATAGAAGAAACGTCCTGACTCAGATTAATTGGTGAAGAAGCGTAGAGAAGCCATGTCTGGAAGTTGTTGAGCTTAATGGTGCATTTAGTGAGAGAACTGTTGGGAGAGATTTGAAGAATGGCATGAACTGTAGAAATCGAAAGGGAAACACCATTGGTAGCAACACAGGTCAAATAAGGGCTTCCTCTAACGAGGAAGAACCTGAGATTGCTAGAAGGAAGGTCAAGAGTGACACTAAGATCACTGAATGAAGAAACAATGTGGGTTGCATATGGGTTGGGTTTGTTTAATGTAGAGATGGTGAGGTCAGGATTGAAAATCTGGTAGATGAAGGAAGAGTTAGAGGACTGAGATGGGTAGCATAGAGTGAGAGAGGAAAGAGAAGATTTGATGAGATAAGGGTGGATGTATTCGGGTTGATCACCATTTTTTAGAACAAAGTTTTGGAAGAAGGAATTGGTAGGTAGAGGGGAAGAGAGTAGGTGGGGAGAGAAAAAGAGGGATGGGTCAGGAAGGATTGTGGATTGGGTTTGTGGGAAGATGAAGGGATGGGTTGGTTGTCTGTAGGGTTTTGGCGGTGGCGGTGGCAGTAGCGGTGGCGGTGGCGGTGGCGGTGGCGGAGATGGCTCACGTGGAGGAGGAGGAGGAGGACGTGGTGGTGGTGAAGGAGGACGCGGGATTATTTTTTCGAAAATCGACAAGATTTCTCTGCCAAACAGACCAAAGAAGCCCATATTTCTTTTGAGGCAAGAAAATGTTTCACTCATAAAAGATTTGTGAGTGAATTCCCATCATCAAACCCATTCAAATTCCTAATCTTACCCAATGCACTCTCTTTGTCATAAACCCCTTCCAATGCATGCAAAAACCCCTTCCATCCCTCTAAAACTCCCTCCCTCCCCAACGCTGCCGACGCCCATGCCACAAGATCCCTCACAAAACCACTTTCACAAAACAAAACCTCAGTGATTGGCAACAGTGGCAACAACTGAATCCCAACCCTGCACTCCCTCCATTCAGCTGGTGCAAACCAAAGTCCACTGTCCCTTTTATTAGCCCATAAAACACCCACAACTCTATTCTCTCTAGTAAATTCCTCTGCATACATAGTCCCTCCCTCTCTCACATGCCACCATGTCTGAGCTGAATGAATCTCCATTGCTGCAATTGTAGAAGCAGTCGCGACAAGGTGTGTGTCCCCATAAGCCAATCCCATCAATGCAGCCGAATAGTATGCGTTCACAGCCTCGCTCGTGCTCTCTTGGTTTCGCCCATCTGCAAATTTAGTCAGCCCTCCAGCCCAAGAATGAAGTTTCCATAGATCAAAACACCGCAAACGCGGATATTTTGAATTTTCTCGCTTGCCCAAGTTCATGAAATCTGCCATTAACGAGTAAGCTTGTGGCCTATAGTTTCTCCCCCAAGTTGGATCAATCTTTGCAAGCACTGCAATTGCATAAAGAAAAAGCCCCAAATGGTAATGGTGATCATTGTATATTCCAAACCCGAAATCAGCCCCGGAACCCGAAGATCCTTGTTTAGTCACAATGCCACCCCACTTCCCGTCGTACAAGAAACCATTTGTGCTAAAAGTTCCATCTAGCCATGGCTCAATCGTGTCCTTCAAGAACTTTCGAATACCCGGGATTGCATCAAAACAACCGACTTCTTCAGCAATCAATGCTAATCTTGCTGCTCTGGCAATCTGTTTTCCATAAGAATAAGATGATGATGTTGTTGATGTTGTTGCTGGATTGAGAGCCTCAACATCTTTGATTAGTGCAGCAACAATTTCAAGGTATGATTCTTCATTGATGCCTCCAAGTGAGGGCCAAGTTACAGAAACAGGGCTGGATTTCAATACCCATGAATCTCCAACAACACCCACAAGGTCTCCATCAATGCTTTTATACCTGAAATCATCCAAAACAGTGATTTTACTATCACTGCTTGAAAGAAGCTAAAGATGAAGAGGGTGGGCAAGCATGAGCAAATCTCCCCAACCTCTCTTATCCCATTTATACTCCAAAGAAAATGGATTGGAAAATAGGGCATCAGCACATACCGGATAACAACGGCTGAACCGATCAAGGATTGATTCATATCGTGGGTCAGAATTTGGTACAATAGCAATCCGAATTATGCCAGAAAACCCATTAGAAATTATAGAAGAAACGTCCTGACTCAGATTAATTGGTGAAGAAGCGTAGAGACGCCATGTCTGGAAGTTGTTGAGCTTAATGGTGTATTTAGTGAGAGAACTGTTGGGAGAGATTTGAAGAATGGCATGAACTGTAGAAATCGAAAGGGAAACACCATTGGTAGCAACACAGGTCAAATAAGGGCTTCCTCTAACGAGGAAGAACCTGAGATTGCTAGAAGGAAGGTCAAGAGTGACACTAAGATCACTGAATGAAGAAACAATGTGGGTTGCATATGGGTTGGGGTTGTTTAATGTAGAGATGGTGAGGTCAGGATTGAAAATCTGGTAGATGAAGGAAGAGTTAGAGGACTGAGATGGGTAGCATAGAGTGAGAGAGGAAAGAGAAGATTTGATAAGATAAGGGTGGATGTATTCGGGTTGATCACCATTTTTTAGAACAAAGTTTTGGAAGAAGGAATTGGTGGGTAGAGGGGAAGAGAGTAGGTGGGGAGAGAAAAAGAGGGATGGGTCAGGAAGGATTGTGGATTGGGTTTGAGGGAAGAGGAAGGGATGGGTTGGTCGTCTGTAGGGTTCTGGCGGTGGCGGTAGCGGTGGCGGTGGCGGTGGCGGTGATGGCTCACGTGGAGGAGGAGGAGGACGTGGTGGTGGTGAAGGAGGACGCGGGATTATTTTTTCGAAAATCGACAAGATTTCTCTGCCAAACAGACCAAAGAAGCCCATATTTCTTTTGAGGCAAGAAAATGTTTCACTACCAAAAAAATAAATAAATAAACATATATATATATATATATATATTAAAACTCAACACGTGTAGAAGATGAAAGAAATTTGATAAGAAAATACACAATGAAACTCAAGAATATACAATGAAATTCGGCATGCCTGTAGGTAAAGGAGATTGTCTGGGTTGAAGGATGGTGAATGGTGAAGGGGAAAATGGATGAGAAACACAAGGTTGTGGTTTGGAAGTGAAATTTAATGTATTTTGAGGATAGAAAGGTGGATGGAGTATATATCAAAGGCATGCAAGTGAAGATGGTGAAGGAAGGGATAACAAGGTGGGGGGTTTTTGGAATATGTTATTCCCCCCCCCCCCCCAAAAAAAAAAAAAAAAAAGGGTCTTGGAATATGTTTGGGGAATCCAGAAAGTCATATAATGAAGGTTCTTTTTTGAGGTTTAGGAGCTTTGCATTGGTGGATTTATGAGTTGTTCTCTCTCAATTGGTTCCCAAATGCCTTATGATATCTTGCAAGTTTTCCCGTGGTTCCTGATTCTCTTGGGGTTAGTGTAACGCACACAAAAACAAGAACCATTTTATTGTCATGTGATTATATTAAAAAATAACTAAGGTTATGTTTGTTTGAAATTTTAAAAATTATATTTTGAATTTAAAAAAAAAATATTGGAAAAAAATATATATATATACTACTTAGTGTACTTTTTCCAAACACGAAAATAATGTGGCGGGTATGATGTGACACTCTAAAAAATTAAAAATTCTTTACTGTACTTTTTCCAAACGTGACAATGTGGCGGTACGATGTGACACTTTAAAAAAAATTTAAAATTTCTTAGTGTATTTTCCGCAAACGTGACAACGTAGTGAGTATGATGTGACATTCTAATAAAAATTAAAAACTACTTAGTGTACTTTTTCCAAACACGAAAATAATGTGGCGGGTATGATGTGACACTCTAAAAAATTAAAAATTCTTTACTGTACTTTTTCCAAACGTGACAATGTGGCGGTACGATGTGACACTTTAAAAAAAATTTAAAATTTCTTAGTGTATTTTCCGCAAACGTGACAACGTAGTGAGTATGATGTGACATTCTAATAAAAATTAAAAACTACTTAGTGTACTTTTTCCTCTAAATATGATAATGTGGCGGGTATGATGTGACACTCCAAGACTTTTACTCTAAAAAAACAAAAAACTCCTTAGTGTATTTTTTTCAAATATGATAACGTGGTAGGTATGATGTGACACTTAAAAAAAAATAAAAACTCCTTAATGTACTTTTCTCAAATGTGACAACGTGATGGGTATGATGTAACACTCTAAAAAAATGAAAGCTCCTTAATGTACTTTTCCCAAATATGATAACGTTGCGGGTATGATGACAGTTCAAGAAAAATAAAAACTCGTCAGTGTATTTTTTTTTCCAAATGTGACATGTGACACTCCAACATAGCATGTATAATGTAACACTCTAAACAAATTAAAAACTCTTTAGTGTAATTTTTTCAAATATGACACTTCAACGTAGCGGGTATGATGTGACGCACCTATTATAGTTTACCCATACATTATTTTAGGATCAGGTTAAAATGGCCCGAGATACCTATGTAAATTTTAGGATAAATTACAAACACACTCCCTGAGATTTACTTAAATTACAAATTACTGCCTGTGGTTCTAGAAATTACATTATGTCCCCTAAGGTTTTTAATTTCATAACAAATAGGTCCTTTTATTAATAAATCATTAAGTTAATTAACAATTTTTAATAATGTTAAAAAAAAAATTCAATTAATAATTCAGATAATTTTATTATTGTATAGGTGAACAGTTAGAAATTTCACCTTTTCAATTAATTCTGTTAAATAAAAAATTCTAATAGAGAAGTGTTTGTAACCAGAAACATGTTTCATGTATACATAATGAAATACTTTATTTTTACTGTGTCAAAACTGTGAGATGAGTTGCTGCTTTATTTTAATATGTCGACAGTGAATTTCTCTTAGCAATAAGAGAAGAGAAGGCAGTAGAGCAAATCACAAAGTGCACAAAAGACAAATAATTTACAAATTGCAGGTTGTGGAAGTTAGGCAATTAAATTTCGGTGGCATTGTAGACTTGTGTTAAAACCTACATTTTTGTTGGTTGAGGCATATCATTATATATTATCAAGGTGTTAATTTCATCTAATGTCTGGACTCCAAACGCATGTGAATTTCCGTTGTTGAATCATAACTTGTGACTGTAAGAAGTTTTCATCTTGCGATTTTTGAAATAATCCTAACCTTGGTTAAATGTCTCTTAAAAAACAGACTTCTTTTAAGGTTTAGTAGTGACTAATTTTCAAATCCCATCTATGTGGTCTTTTGGGGGAGGGGCTCCGTCCCTCCAGTTTGTAAGTAAAGTTTTTAGTGCTTTACCCAAGGTTTTAAAAAGCAGTTACGGTCGCCGGTGACGGAGTATAAAGGCAATAAAATATATATATACATATAAATCTATTTAGTACAATAAAAAAAAGTTAAACCTGATTAAATGGGTTATGATATACCTCTTTTTATTATGAAAATATATAAATTTAAAAGTTATAATTAAGACAAATATATAATTTTATTATTAAATGTGAAGTGAAGTGATATTTATCACTAATTGATATGATATTTTTATTATTAATCCAATAATTTAAGTTACATTTTTTTTATTTCAATTTCTTAACTAAAATTACAATATGAATATAATGCACACACGGATTTCTAATTTTTAAGAATAAAAAAGTTTTAGAATATTTCCAACCTTTCAACATTTTCTTTTAATTTTTTTTATCTAATTTGATTTTAAATTTGACT